GGGGGCGGGGGGAAGAATAGGAGGGCAGGGCAGTGGGCGGAGAGCTACAGGAGGACAGCAGCAACCTACTGGCTACAAGCAGGTGGCAGAGAGCTACAGGACTAGCCAGGGCAGCAAGCAACCAGGAGGCAGAGAGCTACAGGAGAGGGCAGGTCAACAAGCTATGGGGGGACAGGGGGAGCTACAAGAGGGCAGCAGCGGGCAGAGAGCTACAGGAGGGCGGCAGCAGGTGGAGAGCTACAGGAGGGCGGCAATGACCTACTAGTGCATGGATTCGTGCACAGGGCTACTAGTTAATATAATAATCCATCTCCTGAGGTTGAAGTGAGCCAGTGCCTGTTAAACAAACACAGAGTGCAATGTTCCAGGACTGCCTCACCCAAGGCCTTCACCCCATCTCCATGGGAGCTTTGCCATCTCTGGGGTCCAGGATTGCTCTCACATTTGAAGAATCCCAACTACAGCAAAAGATGAAAGAAGTGCAGGAAAAGTCTAAATTTCTTTCATCACTGAACTAGATAGAAACTACATGAACATTACATTTTTCACAATTTTTTGTGGTCATTCTCCTATAATATCTCTATAAATTAAATGAATTAAAGTTTAATCGAGCCCCAGTGAGCAGTCTTTGATGATTTTGGCAGGCCTTAGACTAGCTCCTTAGTATAATAAATGCTGATTGAATAAGTGAATTAATGAATGAACATATGGTGATTTTCAAGTCAAGTCTCTGCTAAATCCCCATTGTCAGATTTCAGTCCCCTCTTTAAGTACATTGTTATCCCCATTTTTCAACCTTTGCAAGCATGAGCATCCTTTCATGAGCTTATTGGCTACTTGTATTTCTTGAAGTGTCTTTTTCAGTTTTGCCAATTTTTATTAAGTGTTGCCCTTTTTCATTATTTATTTGTAGGAGATTTGATACATGCAGAATGGGGTTTTGGTTAGTTATGTGTATTGTAAATATTTATTCAGTTGCTGGTTTGCTTATTCATTTTAATAAATTTTATATTTTAGAGTACTTTTTAAGAAAAATACTACAGAAAGTACAGAAGATTTCTATAACTCCCCCCTCCATTGCTAATTCTCCACACAGTTTCTCTTATTACTAACATCTTCCATTAATGTGGCACATTTATTGAAATTGATGCACCCATATGGATACATTTTTTAAAATTTTTATTGTTGAAAGTATTACATATGTTCCCTTTTTCCCCCATTGACCCCGTCCAGTCCCCCTGCCTCCCCGCCTCCTCAGACCTTCACCACCCTATTGTCTGTCCATGGGTTATGCATACAAGGTCTTTGGTTGATTACCTCCCATCCACACACCTTCCCCCGCCTTCCCTCAGAGATTCTACACTCTGTTCCATGCTTCCATGTCTCTGTACTCACTCCATCATCAGTTTACTTTGTTACTTAGATTCCACATTTTGAGTGCAATCATGTGATACATGTCTTTCTCTGACTGACTTATTGCACGTAGATGACACTCTACAGGACCCTCCATGCTGTCTCAAAGGGTAGGAGATTCTTCTCTTTTACTGCTGCATAGTATACCATGGCATAAATATACCACATATTTTTATCCACTCATCTACTGATGGACACTCCAGCTGTTCCAGATCTTAGCTATTGTAAATTGTGCAGTTATGAACATAGGAGTGTATACATTCTTTCTGACTGGTGTTTTGGGTTTCTTAGGATATATTCCTAAAAGTAGGATCACTGGGTCAAATGGCAATCCATATTTAATTTTTTGAGGAAACTCCATACTGTTTTCCTTAATGGCTGCACCAGTGTGCATTCTCACCAGCAGTGTACAAGGGTTCCCTTTTCTCTACATCCTTGCCAGCACTTGTCATTTGTTGCTTTGTTGATGGTAGCCATTCTGACAGATATGAGGTGATACATCATTGTCATTTTAATTTGCATCTCTCTGATGATCAGTGACTGATCATTTTTTCATATGTCTCTTGGCCATCTGTATGTCCACTTTGGAGAAGTGTCTATTTAGGTCCTTTGCCCATTTTGTCATTGGATTGTTTTTCTTCCTTTTGCTAAGTTGTATGAGTTCCTTATATGTTTTGGATCCTCAGCATCCCCTAATCAGCTGTGAATTCCTTCCAATGGGTTCTTTATTTGTGCTATGTCATTTTTTACTTTGACTGTTCTTTTTCCATAGTTGCTATATGTTTTCTCATGCTGTTGAGATTCTTTATCATCATTATTCTGAACTCTATGTCAGATAAATTTCTTATATCCATTTTATTTATCTCTTCTTCTGGAGAATTCTTTTGTACTTTCATTTGCAAGTTGGTTTTTTGTCTCCCCGTTTTGGCTGCCTGTTTGGATTTGTGAGTATGTATTAGGTAGATCTGCTATGCCTCCCAATCTCTAGTGCAGGACAGTACCAAATGCTGTTTCTGACTAATTAGATCAGGCAAAGACTCAAAGCCTCCAGAGAACTGCCTCTGTCTGCACACTGATTAGATTAAGTCTTGAGTAGCCCTCAAGCAATTGTCCACAGGTGTGGTAAGTAGTTTTCCAACAGGGTGGGGCAATTGCTTTTACCTAGTGGTTAATATCTATTCTCAGTCTCTTAATGGGCCTCAGAAACTCCACACCATGGGTGAGGGGTTTTCCAGTAGGGTGGATCACCAGGCAATAACTACCTGAATATCAAAGGTCTGCCTGAGAGAGATGACCTCTGCAGTGTTAGGGAATGATTAAGCATAGGAAATCAGGGTGTCTGCCTTCCAAGCTCTAACCCCAAAACCCTAACCCTGGATTCTGTTCACACAGTTTCAGCCCACTCTGCCCTCCCTCTGCCAGAGCACAAGGTGAATGGCTGCACACAAAATTTTATGCATTGGCTCTTTAAGGGGATACCTGCATTTCCAGCCATCTCTCCCTGGAAGACAGCAACCCTGCTGCTTTACACAGCCAGATGTTATGTGAGCACCTTTCTCAGTTCTGGTCCTCTCTGCTGGGGGGTCCAGCTTGGGGAGGAGTTCTCAGTAGCACCCCCCCCACAGCTGAGATATCTTTCCAGAACTTCAGCTGCTGTCTGTGGGAGTCTTGCCAACCCTTTCCACCAGTCTCTGTGGAGTCTCCCCTTTCCATCCTTCTTTATCATGGAAAGAGCACAGGGTCTCTCCAGCTAGTCTTCAGTTGACTATTTAGGGTGGTTTCTTTGTATTTTAGTTGTAATTCCAGTTTCATCCTGGGAGCATGTCAGTGTAGCTTCCACTTACTTCCACATATTTTTTTCCACTAATTTCTTATCTTTTAAAACAGAACACAATATACACAGTTGTTGATGTTAATAAATCAAAAGTACAAATGTAGTTTTATTATGAAAAGTTATAAAATAACTTGTAAAAGAGTTATAATGGTAACTGTAAACATTGGCTACTATTGAGGAATGAGATTAGGAAAGACTTTACATTTCATTTTACATACTATGGTGTCCTCTGAAATAAACTAATATGCATATATTACTTCTAGAAGTAAGTGGAAACAGATCAGATGAGCCAGACCAGGCAGGGACCTGAATGCCTAGCAAACTCTTCTTGAGCTATGGAAGAGTTTGCTTTGTGGGTGGGCTTTATGCACAGGTTCACTATGGACATTGACTGCATACAGTTCAGACATTCCTCATGGAGAGGGGGACCACATGGGGTAAGATGGAGAGAGGAAGAGATAAGTCATTGAACTTAGGTCAAGTGAAAAGCATCTCCTGAGGCCCTTGTCTCAGATCTCTAAAATCTCATTGGCCAGTGCCCCTTGTGCAGGAAGTCACAGGACCTGCCCAGCATCTTGATAAGCCTCTCTTGGTTATCAGGTTCCACTCCTGCTCCTGCAGACACCTCCTATCCAGGGGTAGGAGAGCATTCTCTGCTGTTCGGCACTCCTTGGAAAGCTCCTCTTTTTCTACTAACCACTTTCAACTAGAAGATGGTGCTCAGGTAAGAGTTGGCTCAGAACTATCTTCTCTCAAAGGCAGTTTTGTTTTCTCCCTCTTAGTCCACATCGTCACGACTGCATCTTGGGTGGAGCATGCAAGTAGCCATGGGCACCCATGAAGGAGAGTCCAGAGACATGAAGCTCCTTCAGGGAAGCTTTGGGTGCTGGTAGCTTAGGCTGTGAGGGACCCAGGTCCTTTCTGCTTCACAGACATTGTTTTCAAACCTGAATTGTTGTTAATAACCTCAGGTTTCACACATTACCTTGCTGTTCTATGAGATTGTTTGCTTATTTCTTTGTTACATGCATCTATCTTTCTTGTCCCAGCCAAAAACACAAGGCACAAATAAATAGGGCAATTGAAGAGAGTTTAATAAAAAGACTGTGTATAAAGGGTGAGCAGGACTAAGGGAAATTAATAGAGGATACAGAGATCCCTAAAGATTAATTATAATAAGGAGATATTGCCCTTGGGCATCCTGAAGTGTAAAGGGAAAGATAAGTTGCCAGAACACAGGGAGGGCTGTGGCTGTAGCGGTGGTCCTCACTATGACAGAAAAAAATGCCCACAGACAGGGGCTGTATCCTTAATTAGAGTAACACCGCCATGGCAAACTCACAGCCTAACAGCAGAGAGGTAGAGAGTTAAAACGTCAATCACCCTCCTCCTGCCCTCCAATCAGCTGTCAGTGTCACCCTTTCCTGAGAGCAATCAGGAGCCAGAGGGAAAGGGAGCCCAGAAGAGGGTAGAGAAGCTGGAAATGAAATTCAACATCAAATTAAGGGAACACATTTTTCTTATACCTTCTTCTTAGTTCTTTTACCTAGGACTTTTTCTCTCTCACTGTGATTAGATCAATTTGTTATTACATCTCATTTATTTGATGTGTTGGCACCCCCTACTGGGTGTCACTTCTTTGAAATAACATCTCTATCATCATAGATGCCTTGAATATGGAACATACATTATTTTTCAAAGTGGTTGTATACAAATATTTTTAAGATTTCAATTTATGATTTTGGTAGCCCTAGAAGGAAATGCAAGAGAGGTTACTAGAACTTGACTGGTGATTTCAAGGCATCAGACACTTGTGCTCTTTCAAATCACTGCTCCCCAGCCCTAGAGAGGTGACTTCATTCTCATGCAGCGCTCCTGAAGTCCTCAGCATTGCAATCAGAGAAGAGGGGAAGAAAAGGCACAACCTAAATTTGGTTACATCACTTGTGCTCACCTCCCATTGGCTACCACCTGGTCACATGGTGCCATCAAATGGGAATGAAAACTGGGATTAGAACCCATTTTCTCATCTAAAACTCTCAGAACTATTATGTGAGAGAGAAGGAAATGCGTATTTAGGCCAATCAACATTTCTACACCCTGAAGCTCTCTCATGTTCTGAGCTCACATGAAGTATTTGCTCAGGTGCTGATCCCACAATGAGGCAGAGAACAGTGGTAAAGCCTCAGGCTGGGCTCCAGCAGACCAGGGCTGGCATTGGACCTGCTGTTCACCCTGTGATCTCAGGGAAATCCTTTGGCTCTTTCAGCCTCAGCTTCTTCCTGAGTTAAAGGATGACATTCTAACAGATGGTCTCTAAGGGACATGTGCTCGATGCTGAGGATACAATAGTGAACAACAACAGCCAAGAAAAAAAGACAAAACCCAGACAGATCTAGTCATCATTATTAAGTTTTCAGTTTAAAAAGGGAGACAAGCCCTAACCGGTTTGGCTCAGTGGATAGAGCGTCAGCCTGTGGACTGAAAGGTTGGGGGCACATCTCCAGTAGGAGGCATGCAGGAGGCAGCTGATTGATGTTTCTCTCTCATTGATGTTTCTAACTCTCTATCCCTCTCCCTTCCTCTCTGTAAAAAAATCAATAAAATATATATTTTTTTAAAAAAAAAGGGAGACACGCCCTAGCAGGTTTGACTCAGTGGTTAGAGCAGCACCCATAGACTGAGAGGTAGCAGGTTTGATTATACTGGGTGAGTCTGCCCTGGCTGAACCTGGCAAAAATTGACTGATTGGGTCTGTCCAGAGGGAAGAAGGAGCTTCTGGAATCTCTGGTCTGTTCTCAGGTGGATTCCACCCACTTATTCTTCCACGCTGGATAAGCTTCACTTCCTTGTTATTTACAAAATTTGCCTAGTCTAGTTTAATATAACACACTAGTGAGTTCCCATTTTAGATTTATCTCTTAAGAGTTACTTGCTTCCTGCCCCACCACCCCCCATGTCTACGGACACACCACCTGGTAGTGGTGCTGCAGGCAGGGGAAGGGCGAACACTCTGACACAGAACTGTGGGTTCGGATCCAGGCTCTTCCTCTTGTGCAAGTGAGAACTGGAGCATGTCATTCAACCTCCTTGTGCTTGTCTTTTTCCATATGCCAGATGGGAGTAAGCATAGTACTGGCCTCATAGGGCTATTTGGAGAATTGAAAGAGGAAATACCATGTAAGCACTCATCAGGGGCTACTCTTCACCTATGTGTGAGTAGATTTACATTTCTCACCTAAATTCTGCAAGAGCTTCTCTCTTTTCATCCAAAGCCCATTGTAAAATAGAAGTAAGCACTTCTTAACTCCACCACCACCACCACCATGAGAATTCTCTTACACAAATATTTTGATCTGCAAAGAAATTTCTACTCCAAATCACATGGAGTGATGATAAATGACTTTTATATTACACATAGTATCGGAAAATCACTTAACAATTCCACTTTCCATATTTCTATCCCAATAACCTCTATTTAAACCCTTTGCCACCTCTTCCTCTCCTTTCAAAACGGGCTCTTTCTCCTCTAACATGCAGAGAAATCCTCTCCCACCTGGATAGGAGATGTCTGGAGGCATAAAAAAATTCTTTCAAACACACAAGAGCTTTTCACAGAATGAAAACTTAGAAATGGAATTTTCTTTTCATAACATATGTGTGTTTTGGTGATGGAGTTAAAAGTGCTGACTTCTGTTTTACATTTAAAATTCTTCATTTAACAAAGTTTTATATTATATTAAATCCAAACTTCCGTCTTTCCTTGGGCTCCTCATTGGTTCTTTCATTCATTAATTCATTTGTGGGTTAAAATTTTATTGACAGCCCCATGGTTTTCACACATAGACTTAGGCCCTGGGGACACAACAATGGAAAGAGTAATCACTGTCTATCCTCATAAAGATGACACACTGGGACATTTCTAATGCAAGAGCTTTGGGTGTCCTCACTCTGTCCTAACAAGGGGTCTCATTCCCTTCAAGAGCCTAAGTCATAACCTCCTTTCTCCCTCCTGGGTAGACCACTCTCAGTCACTGAGATTGCCCTGGGGCTTCTGACAGCCTGCTGTCAAACAAAGCCACTCTCCCAGAGCACAAGTACTGGGGAACTCAGAACCCTGCTGTCATCCACAGGACCTGTGCAGACTCTTCTCCTCCTGCCTCCAG